TTTGAACAAGGCAGTGAGACTGGGGATGGAAGCCTGTGGTGCTATACAAGTCCAGAGAGGAGAGAGCTTCACAAATTTCGAAAATGAGTCAATTGTTTCATATGCTGCAGAGCTTAAATAAAAGGAGGGAAGTTGTCATTGGATTTGGCAATCTGGAAGTTGTTAGTGACAGAAGATAGACTGGAGGTCATTGAAGAATGAATGGGGGTTTCTCATCAAGAATACCAGATTCTACCCTCATTTTCTTCTGCTTCCTTACAAAATCCTATGAAAATGATGGTAAAGACATAGTAAAAAAAATATAAATCCATAGGGAAAAAGAGCAGAAGAGGTTTGAAGCCTAGAAAGCAGTCAATTAGTAGTGAGTTAATCCAAAGCTAACAGTAAAGAGAGTAGAGTAGTGAGACCAGAGAAAGGATCAGGAACTGGTGGTGCCAGGTGCCTCTGGAAGTGAAGGAGAAAGCGAGGTTGGGGGAGGACTAGCTGACAGTCTATTTACCGGTTAGACCACTCGATCCTCTCCCACACCTAAGCAGAAGCCTAGAGATTCACTCACTGGAGAGGGTAAAACAGAAGGTGTCTCTAGAACAGTAGCCACCAGCACAGTTGAGGACAGGAGTTTAATATCGAAAATGCATCCCTAACCCTCTTCTCCCAATGGCAGTCAGGCTTATACCCTCCAGGCAGGTGATTGGAAAATTCTTCTCTGGTGATCTAAATTATCACTTTGTTTCCCAGCATGATGGCTCCAATAAGATCACCCTACAGAAAAGACCATAGTCAACAAGCCCTCCCCATACTACAGAGCTTTCTAATGAGTATTTAATGCTCCTCTGTTAGAGATAGACAAATAATTAGGAATCAGTAGGCATTTGAAGAAAGCATCTATTCAGAGAGGAAAACCAACAGGAAAAAAAAAACAGCTTGGGGCCGGGCGCGGTGGCTCACGCCTGTAATCCTAGCAGTCTGGAGGCCGAGGCGGGCGGATTGTTTGAGCTCAGGAGTTCGAGACCAGCCTGAGCAAGAGCGAAATCCCATCTCTACTAAAAATAAAAGAAATTAATGAGTATTTAATGCTCCTCTGTTAGAGATAGACAAATAATTAGGAATCAGTAGGCATTTGAGGAAAGCATCTATTCAGAGAGGAAAACCAATAGGAAAAAAAAAACAGCTTGGGGCCGGGCGCGGTGGCTCACGCCTGTAATCCTAGCAGTCTGGGAGGCCGAGGCGGGCGGATTGTTTGAGCTCAGGAGTTCGAAAAAAAAAAAAAAAAAAACAGCTTGGGGAAATGACCTATAGGTTCATGGTTAATGGTAGCACACAGGGGTAGAGTGTGATATATCCACATGACATGGCTTCAAATAAACTGGAGCATTTTTGAAGAAGGGCTATATCTATTCCAAATCCTAGCCTTGAAGCTCAGGAAGAATGATAGACAACAAAATAAAAAGCAATAGCCCTCACTGGAATAGGAAGAGGTATCCTTAGTGGATGTCCAGTTTCAGTTAAGGAAAGACAATAAATAGAACTTCCAGAGACAAGGTTGTTGATATAAGAGAGTTTTCCGATCAAAGAATAGACATTTGCAGAGTAGAAGGTGATCAGAGGGTGGGTGATTGATCAATTTGAGATATACAAAAGATGTAGGAGGTGCCAGGGAACTATGACAATAATGGATGATAGAGAAGCATTGACTTCTGGTGATGCCTGAAGTAATAAGAGAGGTGAAGCATGCTGGAAGTCACCATGGTAGTCACAAAGAACCCTAGGCATTGGTTCAATGGGTAGTCTTTCTACTCAAATTGTGGTACCAGGGCCAGCAGGCTTGACATCACCTGAGAGTTGTTAGAAATATAGACTCACGAGCTCTACCCCAGGGTTAGTGAATAAGGATGTGGATTTTAATAAAATCCCCAGGTGTGTACAACAAGGTTTAAGAAGCATTAATTATTTACCTCTAAAATACGGGGTCTCTGTTTTCTCCTCTAGTTTCCGTCAACAGACTCACCAGAAGCTGAAGATATTGACTCCATCATGGGGCTATTTCTCTCCAAAACATCATTATGTTATGAGGCCTCATTGATGACCACATTACTAAACTGTAACCTTCTTGAAGACAGGAACTACTTTGTATATTATTAGCCACTGGTGCCTAATAGAATTCTTAAAACAAGCAAATAATTCCTAGATGTTGAAGACTAGAGAGCAAAAGTGACTATGTGTGCAAATTCCCCAGGGCAATTGAGTTGATGGTTGATTTGAAAAAGGTAGTTAAAACAGAAACCCATAAAAAAGAAGATACATATATAAAATACTTTAAAACATATACACACCTACACACATACTCCTACATTTGTATGTATATTAATTCCTTTGTAAATATTCTGTTGTAAGTCTAAGGCCTTTTATATGAGTATCAACTGTTTTCTGAGAGTTCTGCAATATCTTTCCTGCACAAACCACTCTGAAAATGCATTGTCTTATTTATTTTTGCGGTCTTTAAAGTGAATTGTAGAGCAATTTGAGTGCAGAATCTTCCTAGATTTTTGTTTTCCATATTTTTTACAATTCTCATGTACATATAATAGCATTTTTAAGTGACTTGACTTTTTTCTTGCTTTTTCTAAGTATTCAACTTTGTTTTCCCAGTGCAAAAAGCTCCCTATCTTTTCTCACTTACATTCTGCCACTATATATAGTGTTTAATTAAAATGTCTTTTAATAGTGAGGCCATTCTCCAGTAATACGGGGACATAAAAATTCTTCATCAGTGGTTATAGTCATAGGCAATTTTAGTGTATTGCTTATTTTCTCCTGTAGTTAATTATGTGGTCACGTCTCAGTTTTCTATGAGCCTGCCCACCAGGTTGAGCCTAGCAGATTTGGCAGAGTAGTTTACCAACCCAGAGTTCTTAGGACCTGGTCCTCTGGAATGACGGCAACATGCCAGGTCTTCTGTAGCAACTAGACCATTTGCCATGGCAGCTTCAAATTGAGCAAGAGTTCCACAATTTCACACTTGGGTGCATTCAAATCTCTCAGGTGGATGGCAGCCAGGCTCCATAAATAACTCCCTATTAGCATTGTTCCAAAACTCAGACTTTTAAAAAGCACTACCCATCTCCAAGGGCCAGTCCTTAATAAAATGATTTGTATGACACTTGAGCAACAGCCTGAGGCTCCCAAATCAGGTAAGAAGGACTTTCCTTGTGAATGCATTTAACTCAGCCATAATGATATTCACCAAAACTAAACAGATTTTAGCTGGATCATGATAAGACAAAACAGGACAGATACACGGAGGGCACTTGGGTTGGTTTGTTTTTATTAAACATGCTTAAGTTCATTTATAAAATATCTTTGAGAAATTGTTTTGCTTTGTTTTTAGAGATTTA